CAGCTGATCGGTGTTTCTCTCTCTTCGATGTTTCTAACTCTCTCCCTTCCTCTCTGTAAAAAATCAATAAAATATATTAAAAATAATAAAAAATGGTCTTTTTCACATTTTTTGTTAACACTAATAAATGCCTTGATTAATTAACTTGAAAAATAGGCCCTGGCTGGGCAGCTCAGTTGGTTATAGCATATATACCAAGGTTTCCGGTTTGATTCCTGGTCACATAGAAGAATCAATACATGAGTGGAACAACAGATCGATGTTTCCAAAATAAAAAGTGGTTGAGCATTGACCCATGAACCAGGAGGTCACAGTTCAGGGCATGTGCCTGGGTTTTTGGCTTGATCCCTGGTGTGAGGTAAATGGGGGGAGAGGAGGGCGCGGTGGGAGGAGGCAGCCGATCAATGATTCTCATTGATGTTTCTATCCTCTGAAATCAAATACATATACATTAAAAACACACACACACTGAAGGGTCTCAGCTTCGGTTTCTGGTCAAGGACACCTGGATGGCAAGTTTAATCCCCGCCCTGTAACAGGTGTGTGCTGGAGGCAGCAAATGGATGTGTCTCCCTTCCCCCTCCCTCCCTCTCCCACTCTGAAAAACAATGGAAAAAAGGATCCTCAAATGAGGATTAACAAAAAATCTATACTAATAAAAGGGTAATATGCTAATTAGACCAGGTCAACCTGCCATTTTCTCAATGTCCTATTCCCTTATGGACAAAGCCATGGTGGTGGGGGCTGAGGAGAGGCAGTTAGGGGTGAGATCAGACTGGCAGTGGAGGGCAGTTGGGGGCCTAAAGTGGCAGTCGGACATCCTCCAAGGGCGTCCCGCTAATTAGACCAGGTCAACCTGCCATTTTCTCGATGTCCTATTCCCTTCTGGACAAAGCCATGGTGGTGGGGGCTGAGGAGAGGCAGTTAGGGGTGAGATCAGACTGGCAGTGGAGGGCAGTTGGGGGCCTAAAGTGGCAGTCGGACATCCTCCAAGGGCGTCCCGGATTGGGGAGGATGCAAGCCAGGCTGAGGACAGCCCACCCCTGCACTGGGCCTCTAGTATATAAATAAAAATACAGAGAATAAATGCATTTCACTGAACAGCATTTGGTTTGGGCAACTAGGACTTGAACAATTGTGATTTCTACCAAATTTTCACTACTGCTTGACATGGTAATGCAGTGGTTCTCAACCTTGGCTGCACATCCTCTGGAAATTCTGTTTCTTTGTTACTAATGTTGTGGCCTCACCCCATAACAAAGAAACAGAATTTCCGGAGGCTGAGGCCCAGAAATCAGGATTTTAAAAAGATTCCCAGGTGATTCCAATGTGCAGCCAACGTTGAGAACCACTGTGCTAATGGGTCTTGTGAAAAAGGGTTTCAGCTGTTCTTGTCTCTTAAGCCTTAGGCTCTCTTCCATAGGAATCCCCAAAGGTATTCATGGGTCTTAGCCAATTCACCCTACACACAATTGAAATTTGAGCAAGGAAAAGGCTCTCCCCCTGTCTCAACCATCCCCAATTATAATCTTCATTGCCTACCTTCTACTTAGGAAATCATTAATTTGTTCTATTTTTTTTATTGCTTAAAGTATTACAAAGAGTATTACATATGTCTCCTTTTTTCCCCCCCCCCTCTTGACAATCCCCTG